CCCCAAAACCCCAAAACCCCAAAACCCCAAAACCCCATAGGTCTTGCCTATAATTGAAACTTTTATTGTTGAGGCACTTAAGAAGTAAATCCAAAATCTTTCATAATATCGTACTTCTCATATGTGTTGTCCTTGATAAACTTCTTGTGGTTCTTTACGTAGCATGCACGGATTATCTGCTCACGCATCAGATCAGCAGTAGGAATGTACTTGAGCTTAGGAGCTACAAACGTGTCTTTGTCGTCTTGAGGATCAGAAGGAGGAATGATGATATCCTTCGAGACTTCAAGACCTTCAAAGATTTTCATCTAAAAGTAAGAGATTTTGGAATACCTTCACTTGATTAACTTTCTTTTTCTTCAGCGTGGTAGAATTCAGGTTAATACCAATCATATCTAAATCTTGTATCTCTGGCTTTAGTAAACGAAGGTAGGCATTTGTAGGAGTAGCTATTTGAATCATCATTAATATATTTCTTACCTAAATTTCTAACCTTTTCTAACATCTTAGAAGGAGATCTATCCGGTGGAGAAGTTTCACCCTCGACTTCTTCTTCCTCTTCAATTTCTTCTTCGCTATTTTCATCAGCCTTATCGTTCTCTTTATTGATTTGGTCGTTGAATCTTTTGACATACTTAAACACTAATTCTTTGGCATTCGATCTGTATTTTTCGAGCCAGGAGAAGAACTCGATACTATGTTTGTTCTTACATTTTTCGTAATACAGATACAAAGCCATATCCTTTAGCTCTTCAGGAATCTTCTTGAGCTTTTTCATCATCTTCTTCTGAGCAGGAGTCGGATTATTAACATCTTTGAGAAACTGGATTAGATTTCCGACTTCCTTATTCCAGATAGCATCCAAAATATTGTATCTAGATGATTAGATTATATGAATTTACTTTTTTATAGTCTCATCCATTTTCTTCTTCCATCTATCCCTAATTTTCAACACCTGATTTCTGTACTTTATTGCTTTGGAGTAAAATTTCGAAGCCTCTTCTCTGTTACGGAAAAAGTTCAGGATTGTCATCTTTGCCTCAAACCTCACATTATTCTGTATCGAAAGAGCTACAAATTTTGATGAGAAAGCGATGGATCTTTGAATCCTGCCATCAAACATCTTATTTTTGACTCCAACAAATCTAAAGAAACATCTTGAGATTCTATCCACCATCTGATTTTTATTATCCTTCATAGCAATTACTGCTTCATCTCTAAGCCTGACAGCTTTCTTAGACCGATATTTCTTCAGCTGGGCTGCCATTATTCTCTTTAACTGAAAGTACAAGAGCCAGCCTATAATAAGCAAGGTGACATACCTCTTGCAACGCCTTGCTTCTCGTCATTTATTGCTTTTTCAGCAGAGAGCTTTCTTAGGTAAGACTTCTTGTATTCCTTTTTATGTAGCATAAAGACTTTTCTCTTATGATCCCACTCTTCAATCTTAGCTTTGTTCTCTACGCTACGCTTGTACTTGTATTCATACTCTTGCATCCCACTGTTCTTGAGTGGGGAAAGGTATTTCTGAACCTTCCTGAGTTTAGATTCTACAGAAATGTTATCACTCTTACAGACAGACGAGGATGAATGACAAGTAGCTTAGAGTTTTTAGTAAATTACCGTTTGAATTATACTTCTGGATTGACTCCTTGTTTTTCCTCTCACAAATTCCATCAAGGCAGTCACTAAACTCTATGAAGTTGTTAGGATGGCTCAAGATTTCATCAAGCTTTTTGGTGATTTTATCCTTTGTGTTATAAAGCCTCTGTTTCTGCTGTTCTCCTACAACAACATTAGAGGTTCATTAAATTTGATGTAAAATTATGCAGTTTTTTCAATGAAAATTTAAAGGAAATTACTGATATTCGTCCATAAATCATTCTCTCCAAGCATGTCCGCGATGGAAGAGAAGGAATTATCATTTTTCTTTTGAGCTTTGAAAACTAATTTGACCTTTGCTCTTTTGTATCTAAATTTATGCACTAAAGTTACCCCATGTTTAATATTGAAAGATATAAGAACTCTTCATGGAATATTTTCTGATCATTAATAGCCTAGAGGTTCTCATAATCCATATGAATTACCTTAATTTTTATCTTCCCAGGCTCATAGATCCCACAGTTATTATCAATATCAGGGAAATGGGTTGAGAATGAGACTCAGGTTGTGATCTCAGTAGAAGTTGACTCAATTGTGAACACTAGAGGAGTTTTTGCTCTTTGAATGAATACTTTATAGTATCCCACTTTCATTGAGTCTAGGAAGACTACCTTATTCTTGTTATTTGAAAGGGTAATAGAAAAGTTTTGAATAGCCCTGCTATTATTCATAGCTGTTCTCTTCATTTCCTCATTTACTATAAGTTAATATAATTTACTCACGTTCTGCTAACTTGTCCTTGAGTTTGAGCTGAGAAGGGTTGGGAGACATCACTAAATTATGTATGAATATCTGGATAAATCTACCAAGGTTTATAAAGTAATGACCAATGCTTGAAGAATCCTTCTCGATAACGACACTACTTCAGGGATTTTCACAGTGAGTTATTTTATTTTATTCTCAAATTTTCTTGAAAATTTTCCTAAGATCCTCTTCTAATAATATGACAATGTATAAACCTGTTAAAAACATAATCCCGGGTTTAAGACTGTGGCCCTTCCGAGATATATCCTCCAGGTTTAGGATTTCATGCATAGATAGAGACTTATCAGAGGTTTGGAAATTTAGAGAAGAATTATCCAAATTTTATTCTTGGTGAAGCATTATGTAATGCAAATATTTCTGAATTAATACTTACTCCTAGTAAAGATTTTAGATTCTAGCTGTTGCAGCTGGGTATGAGCTTGCTTGATTCTTTCAGAAGATTTGAAATTTCTACTTCTAATCTGAAGAGATAACGATGATTGCCTATAAATTGTAATTTTAGAAGCGAAAACATTGGATAAGTTGCAAACTATATTCAGAAAAGAAGAAAATATAATTTATAATATCGTCTTGAATATCTACTTCAGTTAGTGGTTACTTATGAGTGGAAAAGGACACAAAATAATTTTGACATCTATAACAATGCGACTCTACCTCAATACTCTTGGACTAAAACATATTATTAAAAAGCCTACTTATTTTTGCTCCTCAATATTCATTTTCGAATCATTATGTACTGGAGAAGTAAGTTTGCTCACCGCTACTTTCCTTCTATTCCTTATAATCTTTTTCCTCAAAAACTTCGACAACTGTAAGGTCTTAATTCCTTCTTCCTAACACCCCCTCTCGACCTACTCCCAAATTCCTCGAGACTCTACTCCGAACCCTTCCTCCTCCTTCAGTAGTACCCTCACTAAAATCTCATCTCTAAACTTACCTATTCTTCGTCCTTACAGCTAAATCTGAAATTCCTTCCATAAAAAGTTCATTTTTGTTAACCTCTTCTAGTTTAGTTCTGACTGATCTGTGTAGGAAGGGAACTGACGAAGAGTTCTGTTCGTGCTTGAAGGTGCCCAAAGTTGAGTTTATACTAGGGGGTTGGAAGCGGGGGTTTTGGGAAGGGGAGAAATAGGTTGTGAAGGAAGGGGATTTGGAAGGTGAGTGGGCGGTTCTAGAGGTGAGATGGGGATTATGGGGAGTAAGGGAAGAGTGGAGGTTTTTAGGGGGAATTTGGAATTTACCTAGAAAATGGCTTCTTTTCCAAAAAGGACTTTATTCTGATGTTCTTTTGGTTGCATTTTACGTATGAAATTAGGCGAGTGATGTCTGATTTTTGTAGAGAAGGGTATGAAAGTTGTCTGCTTTGTGAGTTATCCATTTTATATGATTTTATTATATATTAAATAAACCTTGGACTGGGGTTTTGGGGTTTTGGGGTTTTGGGGTTTTGGGGTTTTGGGG